TAGAGGAAGAACTATGACAAATACACTTGTGTAGTTTCAAACATATATAAATCTTGTCATAGAGGAAGAACTATGACAAATACACTTGTGTAGTTTCAAACATATATAACTATTGTCATAGAGGAAGAACTATAACACTATACTATACGAAACTACAAGCATTTGTCGTCTTATTCTAATTTTCATCTGTTACTTCATAGTTCATTCATCTATAAACAGATTGTCCTATTATATTATATATCTGACATTGTTATAAGCTGTGGCTAAACAATTACACACTTTTAACGAAAAATTTTATTACGTTTTTATGAACACAAACAGAATATTATTATTAACTGACATATAACTTAACTTGACAAAATCACCCAATTTCTAGCATTGTGAACGACCTTGACGTGAAATAAGAAAATGATGAACGATTTTCGTACGGTTTATTATTATTTAATTTTTGTTATGGTAACCTTAAGTTCTAATACAAAGAAAATGGAACATTCTGCTTTTTTAGTATGTTTATCAATAATGCCTTCACAATAGGTAGGATTTTCATACATATTATAAAGATATTTAATATTACAATGAATAAAAATAACAAATACATTTGAAATATAATATATGTTGTAAATATATTTCATGGGCTGCCTATACTGAAACTACTATTATAATAAACATTTGAGAATGATACATAGCTGGGAAAACGGTATGATGACATGTTATCACACAGTGATTATAAAATGCAGATGGACGTAAGACGAGGAAAAAAAACAGCTATTTAACAGTAATATTAAAAATAGAACTAGTGATTTATATGGAATACTGGATAACACTTTATATCTAAGATATTTGTAACAGGGCAACATTTAGTAACATCTAATTTTTGTTTAATATCAAGTGTCTGTTGGTAATCGTTGCCAAGAACTTGAAGCGGTGAGTACTGAACTGTGTTCTAAGTTAATAACTCACTTACAACTTCGTCAGTTAACATTTTAATCAAATACTAATGTGAATGAAAGGAGAAATTTACTTGGAATCTAACGAATTTGATAAATTTTAATGAACAAATAGCTAGTTACTTTAGTTGAAAGACCAACTAATGAATTAAAAAAAAAGGCGTACAATAAATATAATAACATATATAGGATAAGTCATTTAGAGGATTTGAAAATTGTAATAATTTAATCACATTAAAACGTAAGTTGATTACCTTCATTCATCAGTATTTTCGGACGCAATTCCAAAAATATTTACAAAGTTCGGTCAACCTAAAGACATTTAGGTTTACAACTAAATACGCACACTAAGCCATCACTAGAGATCATTCTCTATAACAGTAATCGTAGTATGCCAAATTATGCACTCAGTTTAACTATATAAGAAATAGGTCAATAATTTAACCGATATCATATAACCAAGTAAATGATAAGTGAACAAAAACATTAAAAAGTGGTATTATTTACAAAACTTACCAGTATGAATAAACACACATCGATAGCTTTAAATGGGACTGCAGTGTACGTAATACTTTGTATATTTCACTCGAAGATCGGTAAGTGACCTGTAAAACTGTAGTGTCGAAACATCATCTATTTACCTTTACGGCTTCAGGCACATGTTTGTGTACAAACGTGTATCAGGAACTACAAGAGCAGTTGAAAATCCTTTAAACTTGCATAAAGAATTATTACAATAGGAACGTGATATAATGAAGTTAAGAAACACATGTATGCATACTGTAAACGCAAGATTCTTGCTTAATTAAATCAAATTAATGTAAGTCTTGAAATGTTACAAACTGACAAAATACAATAAATATAAACTACTCTATCAGAGTTGCAGCAGGATACTTACTGTAGATACTTACTGTAGGTACTTACTGTAGGTACTTACTGTAGGTACTTAGTGTAGATACTTACTGTAGGTACTTACTGTAGGTACTTACTGTAGATACTTACTGTAGGTAGTTACTGTAGATACTTACTGTAGATACTTACTGTAGACACTTACTGTAGATACTTACTGTAGATACTTACTGTAGACACTTACTCTAGATACTTACTGTAGGTACTTACTGTAGATACTTACTGTAGGTACTTACTGTAGATACTTACTGTAGATACTTACTGTAGACACTTACTGTAGGTACTTACTGTAGATACTTAGTGTAGATACTTACTGTAGGTACTTAGTGTAGATACTTAGTATAGATACTTACTCTAGATACTTACTGTAGGTACTTAGTGTAGATACTTACTGTAGATACTTAGTGTAGATACTTACTGTAGGTACTTACTGTAGATACTTACTGTAGATACTTAGTGTAGATACTTACTGTAGGTACTTAGTGTAGATACTTAGTATAGATACTTACTCTAGATACTTAGTGTAGGTACTTAGTGTAGATACTTAGTATAGATACTTAGTGTAGGTACTTAGTGTAGATACTGACTCAAAACTGTCTCCCTACATGAATATGATTACGCTAATAAGTTGCTATAACAAATTGTAATAAATTATAAAATGGAGAAGGGTTGTAAATATACCATCTGATATTATTGAAACTGATAAGGTAATTTTCTTCTATACAATAACATGTTCTATAACCTACAATAGCTTTACTAAAAGGCAATATTAAAGATAAGACAACATGATCAGTGTATTGAACTTTTTATTTAAAGTTATATATTAAAGTGTAGTCATTAAGTTTTTTCCCCTCTAATTCACGTGATTTTGTAAGAATATTCTCATTCCATAAGCGGTAGTATTGCATTTCCTGTAGATTTAAATAAACTTGAGTGATCAAAATGCGACTAAAGTGAGTTTTTGAATATTATCCACGAAATTTTGGAGTTGTAAACACATTCTAACATAGTTAATTAGTTGAGAAGAAGAAATGCTGTGAAGAACATTTGTGGAAACATTTCCAATAAAAAACACAAGAAAGTCTGTTTAAGTTTTAATTGGAGAGTTTTATTACAGATACTTACAGGGGCGGATTGGCAATGAAGGACCAGCCCGGACAATATCACATTCTGCATACTGGCTAAACAATTGAAAATTAAAATCAATTTCTAAGAATGCGCCAAATGCACGGGCCCACCGGGCAATTGCCCATTATACCGGAGGGCCAATCCGCCTCTGGATACTTATATTTAGACCAAAGTAATGTAATTTATCAGTTTATCAGTATAGCAAACAAGTCATGTGATTATATGAGAAAAAAAAACCCAGGCCTTAAAGATATATACTTTCCACTTTGTTCTGTAGTTTAAAAAAACTTATTTGAAACTGAAGCAACTAAATGATACTTAAGTACCCTCAATATTATCTACAATTATCCTAGTACAAAGGAAAATAGTGCAAGTTATTTACAGTGAATAGTTTTCTTTTTTCTTATTAAATTTATTAAACTTACTTTGATTATAGAATTATAGAAGATAACATAACATTTTATGTGAATTGTTTTTCGTTTCATTGATTGTCATGCTGCCAAACTGACCACCTGGTCACTGCTTGCTGGCACAAAGAAAACTACTAAAGACGAATAGATGAACAATAGAGAAACAGACAGGTTCTAAAACCAGATAAACGGCTAGTAGTTAAAAAGTAAATAAATTCAGACTAGATTTAGATCTGAATATTATTCGAGTCCTACTTGTAGTGGAATTATCCAGCATTTTACCTTTTGGTTTCGACAGCCTTTGTCGTGGCTAGAAATCTAAAAATAAAATTTATAGACTTTATAAGACCACAAATTAAATTTTTGAAACGAATAAATTAAAACAAAAAAGAAACAGATAGAACCAGACAAAAGATGGAGATGATACTAAAGGAAACTAATCTTATGAGGAAGGACAACAAGAAATTCTCTCGTTAACAGTTGTGAGAGAAAATAAAGAACAATTTAATTTCGTGCTATAGAAAACTTGGTACAGATGCAAAAACCAAGAAAAATAAAACCGTTTGTTATGTGAAAAGCACCAGTTGCCAGTGCAAGTTTCTAGGATATTGTGAACATGTCATAAAAAGTCTAATTTGATGTAGCTAAGAAGACAAAAGAAAGTTTGTAGCTCATTTCCAGCTATACATTGTTTTTTTTTGTCGGGATTTAAGTGAAATGTTCATATTACAAAATGAGCAGCCATTCTTAAAGTTATCAATTACAACAAGAACAACAACAAAAGATCCCGAGTTTAACTATTTAACTAAAAGTGTTAATATAACTAAATCCAACAGAATATAGTGATTTTTTGTCTTCTCTGAACATTTTCACTACTACGACCTTGATGGTACAATCAAGTCAAACTTATAAGAGAAACAAAAAAAATGAAACAAAATGGGCAAAGTATAGTCAGCTTGGAGTTGATAATAGATTTACCAGAAGACATACCCGTTCAATGTACGAGAAAGACAGAGGGGTCCTCGGAGGTGATATAGAGGTCAGATCATTATACTGACCACAGTGTCACCTCCTGGAGTTCTTAGGGTACATGCCAGGTTTAGTGACAATCGGTCTAGTGTTTCGCCAGTCACACAAACAAAGTCACACAAACTTTTGTCATATATTGGTATATAATTTTACTAAAGTTATAGTCGTGACATAACTGACCCGAAAATATTTATATTTTTCTACTCTCCTTCACAACTATGATCATTATTTAAGAGCAACTAGTTATTACAAACGTCCTGGCTGATTCACTTCAGACATTGTAATAAAAGACTCTGAATGTCACAGAGGCTAACTCAGTTTCATTTATAGTGACATCTTTAAACCTTTCTGAAAATTCAACCTACCACCTAATAGTGTTATCTATTAATATTCACCGCTGTTCTTCGAAATAGTCGTGTCATAACGTTTTTCGTAGAAGCTGTTCGAAAATCCTTCTTCCTTTGATTTTCCGAATAATGTTCTGGGAATTTCGTATTATTTCAATCATGAACATTGCACATAAAACTACACTATAGATATGCTATATGGCGTTCCGCTTCAAACGAAAACTATGCACTCTGCTGGAAGTCTGGAATGTTGAACAAAAACTGTTCAAGTTAAAATACTGATTTTAGTAACTGCTTTCCACGAAAGTCAACATTATCAGTCATTTGAACGTGGAATTTTCTTCGAATTTAAACTCCGTGTCATCATCGTACATATTTTAAGCTTGCAGACTTTTGCTGGAACAAAAATATATATAGAATTAAAACATATCATGAGTGCGTGTAAACAGATGTATGAATTGAGCAAGTATAGGATTCAAAACTTCAACAATGTTTTATATGTAGCAGCACATCAATGCATAATTACAAGCAACATATATAATTGCATAAGTTTACATAACAATTAAAGTACCTATGGAGTATCTTTGTAGTGAAAGTTCTCAGTGGAAGCTTTGAATTGCCAGAATCATCTGTTGCAAATGGTTTGTTTTTATTTTTTATAATATTGGTCAAAGACTTCACGTTTACAACATTCATTTCCTATTTGGCTGAACACTTTAAATGTTATCACAAACTACTTAATTTTAGACATCATGTTTAAAAGATTACGTTTAATGAGCTAGCTGAAAATAATCTGTTCTATAACGGAGCTTTGAATACTTGTGATGTTCTTCTGATTTTTAAACAAATCATTGAAAACATCGCTTCATTATAGTGGAATATAGAATAATATGCTATAGTTAAACCCACTGTTTGGCCTCTAGTACTTTAACTTACTATCCAGTACAACATACTAATACTTAAACTGCAGCTTAGCCTGTAATTATAGTACAGTAAGCTACGATCCAGCGCGACATATTATAAGTTAAGATTCAGGTTGGCTTGTAATACCAGCACTGGAAATACAAATTTTTATAAATCCGCCTAATAAATAAAGGTTAATTTTAATAGTTCAGTGAGAAGACAACTATAGACGTCTTGAGTCTAGTGTACAATAAAGACAATGTACACCCAAATGTTTATATATCAATTTATCAGCAAGTTTCAAAAGAAAAAGGACAAAAAATGTGAGAATGCACAGTTTGCTTATTTCAGGATTTTTCATCGTAAATTGACCATGTATGGTTTTGCTGATCATTTCTTTTAGCACAATGGGCTATTTGCGCCGCGTTTACCATATAGATTGAACCTCGAATTTTAGCGTCATAAGCTCCGAAGCTTATCGTTGAGCTATCGGAGGACGAAGAAGTTGTTACTATTGCAGTTTGCAATACTTACTAGGACTGAAGTATTCACTTTTACAATCCATCTTTTTAGATACGGTTTTCTTTTCCTTCATCTGCAGCACCGTCTTGAGCAGATGATGATTGAACATCTGCCAGCGAGTTGAAATCTGAAAGAAAACAAGTCTTTTATATCAACCTCATCCAAAATGCTATTGTAACTTTACACTCACCACACAGGTTAATTATTGTAACATTTAGCCAATATTTGTTTTGTTTGTTTGTTTTGAATTTCGCACAAAGCTACACGAGGGCTACCTGCACTAGCCGTCCCTAATTTAGTAGTGTAAGATTAGGGGTAAGGCAGCTAGTCATCACCACCAACCGCCAACTCTTTTACCAACGAATAGTGTGACTGACCATCACTTATAACGCCCCCACGGCTGAAAGGGCGAGCGTGTTTTGTGTGACGGGGATTCGAACCCGCGATCCCGCAAATTGCGAGTCGAGTGCCCTAACCACCTGGTCATGCTGGGCCCCAATATTTGGTGTAAATCAGTATGAATAAATCTTAGAGTTATTATAATGTGCCTAATAGTACCATATTGAATGTTATATCGTCACTGAGTTTTCTGAAGTTCGTATAGAATAAAAGTATCGCTTAAGCAAATTATAAATTACGAATACAATTGGCATCAAAAATTATACCAGTAGCGTGTTAGTAATAAAGTAATTGATTGACTTTTGTTTTTGGCAAAGCCACGAGGATCGGACTTTGAATTCTAGCGTTATAAGTCTTGAAACTTACCTCTATGTCACCAGGGAACATTACTTTAATAATATAATATACTAAAGATATTCCATATGTCTTCACAATATTCAGAGCTTTTATTCATTTCGTTATTTCTTTTAAACTGATATAAATTGAACGTATTTTACAACCATATTTCTAGCCTTGTTTTGTTACAGTTTAATATATTCTTCAGCAGATGTGTCAGTTTGTATATGTTTATTTGGATTTGGAATTTTAAACCAAATGACACCTTTTGCACACGTAGCAAGGCTAGAACCTTCCTACGGTTCAGTTATAACCGTCCTTAATTTTAAATTATTAACTAAAGGGAAGGCAGCCAGCAGCGCCTGCCACCAGAAAGGCTTTTGGTATGGCTCTTTGAATCGAATTACGAGATCGACTGTCATTTTAATAACACGCGCACAGCTAAAAGCTAGAAGAATGGTTGGCGGCATTCCGTCTCCAACCCGGACTTTTCGGTCTGCAGTTCAACATGCTTAACCATTAAGCCACGCCCGGCCAATATTTATAACAAGGATTTAAAACAACTTTCGCAAACAATTTGATTCACCGATCGTGTAGATTATAACATCGTAGAGACTATGTTCTTCCATAAGTCTCAAGGACTGGAGAATACTGTAGTCCTCATACAGGCTGATTCTTAAGTTTTGTGTAGGAGTTTAGTTATTTTTATAGCTGTTATCTTCAGATTTGTTAGGTTCTTTTCACTGATGTTTATAGTTCGAACATCAGCTCTCTACCATTTTAACTATAACTATTATATAAATCAGTAATAATAATAACGAATTTATATTTAAATGCTTTCCGAACACTAGAAAAATATATTTACTTCTAACATTGATTATATACAAATATCATCACAGTTCGTATATTTTATTTTACTTACATCCCTTAGCTCATTCCGGGGCAAAAGTTTACCCTGATGTTTTACTGGTGATGACGTGACGTGATGAAGAAAAATCACCATCATTGCAAAGGAAAATAGAGACATGGGTTTAAGCTATCTTTAGCGAATATTTAGTTTTCGGACACAAACTCGAATATATTCCTCGCCTGTATGATTTCAGACTATACACACAACATGTATTTACACTAGATATTTTTATAGTCGTTGGTTACATGCGCGTTTCAGTGGTTATAAAAGGCAGACGGTTTTAAATAGTTGTAGTAGAATGATGAAATATCCTGCTGACCTTGCTTAAAAAACCACTTACAGTTGCTTCTGGTAATCGTTAAGGCGTATCCACTTGATTGAATATTATGTTTTTTTGTTTGGCTCGTATCTAACCACGCGCAGTTAAGTATATCAGTTCATTTATCGGGTATAAAACAAAGGGACGATTTTGCAAAAAAATTGGTGTCTGCACGTGAAATTAGTATGATGAAACACTATTATATCACATGATTAAATACATAGACCAATGATGGTTGACCATTATCAAGTTGTGAAAACTCGAAGGTCAATACTGGTGAAAAAAGGATTGCTCTTCCCTACCCAGCGGACTTTGCCCTTTGTCCGTCTCTTTCACAAAACATATGCTTTTCTGCTGATTATGTACACAAACTATCATACGTGACAAAAGTGGCGGATACTTATATGAATGTAAAAGTACACATACTTTTCCATTACTTCATTTACTATGATTTTATAACACAAATCTTAAGTTTGCCAAGGCTTAGCTTGTTTGTTTCGTTTTGAATTTCGCGCAAAGCTACACGAGGGCTATCTGCAATAACCGTCCCTAATTTAGTAGTGATAGGCTAGACGGAAGGCAGTTAGTCAACATCACCTACCGCCAATTCTCGGGTTACTCTTTTCCAACGAATAGTAGGAATGACAGTTGCATTATAACGCTCCCCACGGCTGGAAGTGCGAACATGTTCGGTGTGACGGGGATTCGAATCCGCGACCCGCAGATTGCGAGTCAAGCGCCCTAACTAGACTTAGCTTCCTAAAAACACTAACCAACCTTGTTGTTACAGGATGAGCTTAATGGATATCTTACAACTGGAAGATATTAAACGAAATCCAAACTAATTCAAATACTACCGAATATATCGTTTGTTTTTCTTTTGCAAAGTGCCAAATAATCATTTTTCTCAGTGTAGCATTTATAAAGGGAACACCCACCACAATGAGTCAGTAGATAAAACAAAACAAACTGTTATGTTACTTTTTTCATATTGTCTAACATAGGTTTATGTTATCAAATAATCCATATGATTAGAAAATAATTTCTTAATATTTTTAGATAGTTATTGGTTTGGCTCGGCATGGCCTGATGGCTCGACTCGCAATCTGCAGGTCGCGGGTTCGAATCCCGTCACATCAAACATGCTCGCCCTTTCAGCCGTGTGGGCGTTATAATGTGACGGTCAATCCTACTATTCGTTGGTAGATGGTGATGACTAGCTGCCTTCCCTCTAGTCTTACACTGCTTAATTTGGGTCGGCTAGCACAGATAGCCCTCGTGTAGCTTTGGGCGTAATCCATAATAAACCAAGTTATTGGTTTCAATGCAATATATTTTTTAATTAGCTTTAAAAAATACAATAATATTAGCAACAGTGAAAATACATTATGAAGAGCAGGTCTCATAAAGTGAATATGTAGCAAGTTTCATAGTGTAAATAATGATATAAGCAGCAGGCCTTATAATTTGAATAATAGAATACAGATATCAGGTTTCCTGATAGAGATAATAGTACAGGCAGCAATTCTTATTATTTGAATTGTAGTGTAAATAATGGGCTTGCAATGTTTAATTAATAATTTACTGATAAATATCATTCATTGCCGAGTGTCGATTTTAAACAGGACGTCATTGAGCAACATACATTTTTAAAGTAGTTGTCAAAATGCTTGGGTTTTCATGATTTTATTGTGACAGCGTATTGTTTTTGCGCCAAGAGCAAAAACTGTTTTGTAAACATCCTATCCAACACCAAAAAATGTACATATATATATTTACAGATAATTAATTTATATAGCGTATTTGCAGTTGTCATATTTCGTAGAGCCAAGCGTGTCTCAGTGGTTTTAGCGCTCGGACAGTGAATCCTATGGTTCACGGTTCGTTTCCTGTTGCTGCATAAACGCCCTCCATGCTTTCGAGATGTGTGTACTCTGTAAGAGTGACCGCCAAATTTCACTATTTGGTCGAACAAGAATAACTCAGGATTGGCTGTGGGTACTGTTGACTAACTGTCTTCCCTCTAATATACCAGTTAAAATTAGGGGAGGTTATGCTTAGATAGTCCTTTCGTAGCTTTGCACGAAAATTCTGAAAGAAAAAAAATATAGTCTCCTGGTTAAAAACTCTTTGAGGTGTGATGAGGTTGTAGGATCCATGAAGAAGCAAGACTAATGTATGTTTATCTTGATAAAACTAAAGTAACTAAGATAACCAACAATCTAAAAAAACATAAAACAAAATATCGACTGTATAATAATTTGATAGTGTATTGTTAAATGTGAAGTTGGAGCTGAAATATTTATATATATTCCAAACAGAAATGTAGAGATAATACTGACATTATCTGTTTCTCGATATTAAAATTTTCAATTGATTTACAAAAATAGCATTTAATGCCTATGTTCCTTGTTACAGAATAACCTATGCTTGTTTTCATTAGAAATACGTACCATTCAAAAACCTGGAACACAAATGGATGAAAAATACATGTGAATCGACAGTCATACTCCATGTGTCAGTTCCAGTGCCAGGAGCAGCATATCATATACATACGTATTGCATTATAGAACCTGGTAGGGACGACACAGACCTTCGTCTATACACTTTGGATATTCTTTAGCTTTGAAACCCCATGTCACAAGAATATTTCCATATCATTAAGCTTATATTCATTTGATTATGCATTTAGATTTCCTTGTTTGGTGGGAAATCGCCATCAGGCTTTAGACTTTCAGGATATCGAAACCTTCTAATATGTTAGTGGGTTCCTCCTACTGCACGATAGTAGGTGATACGGTTCTCGGCAATTGTGGTAAGATTGATGATGGCAATTTCATCTTATTCCTCAATAAATTACACCACTTTGTAATCCGTACTACACGATTAATGTAGTTGTTTTCCTTTTTGAATAAATTGAGAGTTTGGGTTTAAACTTTTATTTTATATATTTTTTTTTTTTGCAAACAAACTTTATATTGTAGGAAGGTCTTGTTGTTAAGGTAAAACAATAGTAAATCAAATCGATACAAACTATTTCGTTTAAATATAATTAGTTTTCAAACAATTCACAAAGTGTTTCGATCTCATCGTACGTCTACTTTTCCACTGTTCGATGAAGGTTATAACTTGAACATTTCGTGACTCTCTTTCCATACGATGAAGGTTATCAACTGAACATTTCATGGTTCTCTTTCCATCTGATGTTGGCTATTACCTAAACATTTCGTGTCTGTCTATTCACTCCATAAAGGTTAGCATCTGAACGTTTCGTGGCTCTCTTTTCATTCAATAAAGGTTAGAAACTGAACGTTTCGTGGCTCTCTTTTCATCCAATAAAAGTTAGGACCTAAGTATTTTGTGGCTCTCTTTTCATCCGAAGAAGGGCATGACTGGTACATTTTGTGACTTTGTATTCACTTGCACGAATTAAACATTCACCACAACTGACGAAAAATTTGTTAAATCCGGAAACTGATTAATTTTTTCTTCATTTCTAAACATGTACTCAACTGTTTTTACTAAATATCAAAATACAGAATTAAATTCCTTCTGACTATTGACGTTGATTATATTCTGAAATACTAGTGAAGAAAACAAGGAAGAAAATATGTACGATATTTTGCTTTAACATTTGTCAAGCCATTCAACGAGTCAACCATGCCACTTTACAAGCTTATGAAAGTTTGTTTGTTTGTTTCAAGTTAAGCACAAAGCTACACAATGGACTATCTGTGCTCTGTCCACCACTGGTATCGAAACCCGGTTTCTAATGTTGTAAGTCCGCAGACATACCGGTGCTTCACTGGGGGGCAGCTTATGAAGGAAATGCCTATCAGGTTGTCCAATTATATGCACTTTCTGGTTCTTGGATTGATAAATTTTAAGTTATGCAATTGTTTGTTATTCTTAGGATGTCTAAATGTTAATAACTGCTTGCAAAACTGATAGTATTTGTTGAAGCCTAACAACTAGTAATTGTTAGGTTTGCCAGTTAATGGTTTTCAGTGCTTAGTTTATTCAATATCTTAGTTTTCTTTTTGCTCTCATATTCGCTCCCTCCAGTCCGGCCTAATTACAAAAGTTAAAGCAACACTTCTCTGTGAAAGAGTACCAATAATTATGGGAGTTAAGTTTATATTTTATTTAAATTAAAATTATAAATAATACCTTTATAGTAATTGGTTGATATTTGGTAATTTAAAGTGATAGGCGCTTATTTTGTTACGTAGTATGGTAGGATGCTGACTTAATCTTGGTATCTCTAGATATCCTCTTTCACAACGCTATTCAAAGGTACTGTTGTCCTTACTAATATTAATGTTTAATTACCTGGAATATAAACTTAGTCATGGTATCTCTAGATGGAAAGTTAGCATCTTTCACTACAATATTTTATTTGTAGATGTATTGTCATCCTTACGAATATCATTGTTTTGTCACATAGGGTACAGGCCTAGTCTTAGTATTTCTAGATAGGAAGTTTGCATCTTTCCCAACAATATTCGGATTGTTTGGTTTGGTTTGAATTTCGCGCAAAGCTACTCAAGAGGCTATTTGCGCTAGCCGTCCCTAAATTAGCAGTGATAGATCAGAGGGAAGGTAGCTAGTCATTACTACCAACCTCCAACTCTTGGGCTACTATTTTACCAACGAATAGTGGGATTGGCTGTCCCATTATAATGAGCCCACGGTTGAAAGGACGAGCATGTTCGGTACGAGAATTCGAACCCGCGACCCGCGGATTGCGAGTCAAGCGCCCTCTAGGACATTAATACTCAGATGTATTATCGTCCTTATGAAAATTATCGTTCTGTCACCTGGGGTAGAAACATTTTCTTGGTGTCTTTAGATTGATAATTGAAACTTTTCTTAGCATGCTCAAGTATTATGTCATCCTTACAAGTATCACTATATTCACGCGAGACATTGGTTTAGTCGTGATATCTCAAGTTAAGACCAAATATGTTCACAGTAATGCTCAGGTATATG